AGATCCGTCTAATACAGAACTGGTTCATTTCCTGTACCTGTCTGACAAGTACAAACTGAGCAAACTTCTGGACACCTGTGTTGTCAAAGCGACGTACAGAACCTATGAAGGCGAACACGGCATCAGAACCTTGCGGGAATTCAACCTTCTGTCAGAGAAATCTAAGTTTCGTATACTGTCTGAAAGAATGAGTTTGCTTGAAGTGCCCTTAACAGGTTTACTTTGTGCCTCTAACAAACAAACGCTTAAGCAACGATTGGATAACATTCTGAGTCCTGGTTGTTGTGGCTGCATAAATCCACAGTTTACCCATGGCTCTTCAGGATGTAGAAAGCAGTTGAGAGTCGACCTATTAGCTCACTTGGACAACTTCTGTCTACTTTCAACCTATTTTAGGAAGGATCCGCGCTATGCAGATGTCCAATAAACTCACAACAGCGATATAAGTGGGTTTCACCAAAGTGTTAAACGTCCATGAGGGCTATCCTCAGACGCAACAAGCTGACACACCGTCATATAACTGGAATAATGTTAAATGCGGCGTTAAACCCCACAATCACGACAGCGATGTACTTGTCTGATAAAAAATATCACTTGAGCCAGATAATAGCGCCTGTGTGCATTATTCACAGCAGTACAGTTCCTTTATGTGTGATGCCTGCAAGATGGGGGTATGATGGACAAATCTGCTGGCTGTGATTGTTTAGCATTGTACCCCAGCGGCCAACCATGGTGTGGATGTATATTTGACCAGATTCCGATGAGACCGCATGAAACTACGCATCGTTATAAATTATAGCACCACAAAGTTAAGAAGTGGACACAAAGTTTGCGTCTGCATAGTGTTAGGTTGTATATAATTTTTAATACTGTATGCTGTAGTAGTCAGGTAATGACATTTTCTAAGTAAAATAATTTAATATTGTGTACTACCACTTCAATTTTTGTTTGCGATAATAATATACTGTATGTGAAAAAATAAAATAAACCAACGTCACTTTATTGATGCAACTCAGTTAAATAAATCGTTGACGTCGAAGGCGCCGATCCATCTCATCCCACATGTGCTCGATTAGTGAGAGATCAGGGGAGCGAGCCGGCCAGGGGATGACATTCACGTTGTTTTGTTGAAGAGAATCCTCAACAAGTCGAGCAATATGAGGCCAGGTGTTGTCATGTTGAAAGGTAATGGCTGGGCCATGACGACGCAAAAACGGTAGAACAACAGGGTTGATGATCTCGCCGCGGTAGCGCTGTCCATTGAGATTTCCCTCTACCTCTATCAAACGGGTCCTCTGTCTTGCTGTAATCCCACCCCATACCATAACGCTACCGCCCCAGAACCGTTCTTCTTCCATGACACAATGATTGACGTAACGTTCACCTCGGCGTCGGTACACTCGAATCCGTCCATCGCTGTGGCTGAGGTGAAAAAGAGACTCGTCAGTGAATAGAACTTGTCACCACTGCATGGCCGTCCAGCGTAGACGCTGTCTGCACCACTGTAGGCGTGCTTGACGGTGGTTTCCTGTCAAAATGGGACGTCTGGCAGGTCTTCTGGCGACAATCCCTGCACATCTGAGTCGACGACGTACGGTTTGATAAGACATTCGTCGAAGGCTAGGGATGCTTCTTGCAGTCACTGTTGCTGGCTGGAATCGATTTCGTAGGTGTGTTGTTCGAATCCAGTTGTCTTGTCGATTATTGGTTACGCGTGGCCTGCCACTCCGAGGATGGTCTCTGACTGCATTCGCCTGTTGCCAAATGGTGTTTCTGTGGACGTTGAATTGTCTTGCAACGTTAACATCCCGTTGACTCGATCCTGCTTCAAGCATACCAATAGCTCGCAGACGCTCATTTTTGGACAGGCGTGGCATTTCGTTATGTTGAATAATTGCGTAATTTTGTTGTTTTTCTGAGTGGTTGTTGTGAGCACGATGCAAAACAATGCATATGGAATCCCGTTAACGCACATATTTTTATACCCATTCTTAGGTAGTGAAATGCATGGGGCTTGCATAAAAGTCATGGAATGCATGCTTTTCTGTAGCAGTTGCGTTTTTGTGACTTGATTCCATACATGTACTACAATATTGAAAACCAAACTTCACTTGTTTGAAAAATACACTCACAGGAACTTTTGTTGTACATAAGGGAGATAATCGCACAGTAGTAAAAAAATGGTGTAAAACAAGGAATGCATTAAAAACAGTTTTGTACATATAGTTTGAAACATACATGTACCAGTGTTGATTAAACATCTACATAAATTATTTGATTGTAAATATTATTTGACGAACATAGAACCTCGCATCAAAAGTTATTGTCCCCTTTGAAGCATTTTCATAGCATCAAATGTGTGTGTGTGTGTGTGTGTGTGTGTGTGTGTGTGTGTGTGTGTGTGTGTGTGTGTGTGTGTGTTCTCCATCGTGACTCGCATTATTCACGTTGACATTGAAATTCAACAACAACATGGTCAGGTAATGTCATGTTCCAATTATTATACATTTAATATTGTGTACTACCACTTCAATTACTGTTTGCGATAATGATATACTGTATGTGAAAAAAGAAAATAAACCAACGTCACTTTATTGATGTTACTCAGTTATCAGATGGATCAGTAACAACAGTTACAACCACGGAAGAGGCCGAGGAAGAGAAAGACAATGATGTGTTCCAGTTGGATGCTAGGCATCAGACCCGTGAAAATCCTGTCTTCAGCAACCCATGCTTGCCGTCAAAGGTGACTATGCTTGTCGTAAAGGGCGACTAACGGGATCGGGTGGTCAGGTTCGCTGATTTGTTTGATGCATATCATCATATCCCAATTGCGGGGATCAATGCTGATGATGTCAATCACTGGATTGTCTGGGTCAGACTAGATTATTTACAGACCGCCGTCATATAGCTGGAATATTACTGAGTGCGGCGTTAAACAACAAACAAACAAATATACAAACAAAGCTGGACGACAGTTTGCCAGACGAGGTGATATGGTTCATCGATTCATCAACAGCCGGTCCTACAGGGGATACAGCCAACTATCAAGCCTAAACTTAACCAGTATCCGGTAAATACTAAGTACACCTACAGGCACATCGCTCAGTGCACTCGTCACCACTCGCCCCTTTCCGTAACCTGCAAGAAGACTCGTTCCCCTATCGATGAATGTTTTGTGAGAAAATACGATAAACCAATCAGAATGCGCATATGACTTCAATTACTTCGGTCAAAGAATCCCTCAGGAATAATCTTTGATTTTACATATGTCTTGCATTAAACATATACCCAAGATACACTTAAATTTGTTCAACCATACTGTATAATAAGGTAAGTTTTCAATAGCATCTGGAATATATATAATATATGGGGGAAATATACGTGAATCATTACGCAACGAGTTGACTATTCTTTTAGCTATGCCCGTTTGCGTTAGACGGAACCCAGTCTCAAAAGATGGCCACGAGAGGGGAACATGTCACAATGATGTAGTGCGCTGTGCAAGCTTGGGCGGATGTAATGATTTACATAAACAATGTGTAAGGTGCCTCTTTGCAAAGAAAGACAACTGGATTAACCTGGAAAATCACAATACGAACCCCTAAAAAGTAAACCACTATAACATTATACCACTTTGTCTGTTGTCCCTGCCGTGATATTGCTGTACTATTGCTAAAAGGGGCGTAAAACCATACTCACTCATTATACCACTTTGCCTCCAGTCGCCTACGTGTTGCATATTATACACTTTATGTCATCACAACTGCAATAATTCGTTTGTGACTTTGTTTGTTTAATTCATTGCAATAGGCATATAAACATTGTACACATGGGGTATACAAAGTTTGAACAAGAGGCTTTGTATCATTCCTTTGGTTACAGCCGTGTTCCTTCGATTGTCCCCTTTGAAGCATTTTAATAGGATCCAATGTGTGTGTCCCATGTACTTTATTGAGACTCGAATTATTGACGTTTACATTGAAAGTGAGACAACTCTTATCGATGGGATTAAAGATAGTAGGTTTCTAGGAAATACCAAGGTATTTCCAACGGCTCATCCCCATATTGAATTCAGGCGTGCACTTTCCTGTAGATTCAGTTAATCTAAAGAACAGTGTCAAGTTCCGAATTGTCATCGGACTCAGAGGAGGATGAGTGAGTGAGTTTGGTTTAACGCCGCTTTTAACAGTATTCCAGTTATATTGCGGCGTGTCAGGTAAATGTGGGAGGAAAGCCCAATGTGATGCAGGTTTCAGACGTTTACCACTTCGGTGAAACCCACGAGCACGGGTATGGTGCTGACAAACCTAGAAACATAATCGGGGCGAACCGGGATTCGAACCCACAATCATAGGTTTCTGGCGTGCTCAAGGGACGCAACTATGCACAGCGAATCGCGGCGCCTTAGACGACTTAACCACCCGTGCCCCCCAGACGAGGATGAGCATGAGGAAGTGGAGAAAGAGGAGGTACCAGCTACACCGGGACTGGCTCACTCCTTGTTTCCTTCACACATCGCTCTCACTAACGTGGCGCTCGTAGTGGATGGGAAGAAACTACATGCGAGTGAAGCTCTGCTCTGTCTCACCTCCCCTGCCTTCCTTAAAATGTTTGAAGGGGACTTTAAGGATAAAACAGAGGTTCCCATCGCGGACGATACGTATGCGGACTTTGTTGAATTCCTGTTGTGTGTTCCCCCGTTCAACTGTAAACCGGTCCAACGGGAAACACTTGACGTTGTTCTGGCTCTCGCTGACGAATACGAGGTCGAGTCTCTCAAGCAGCGGTGTGAGCAGTTTGTTCTCACAAGTTCAAGATGAACAGCAAAATAATCCAGCAAATGAGGAAATAAACATCTGCAAAAATTATTTGATTGTAAATATTATTTGACGAACATAGAACCTCGCATCAAAAGTTCTTGTCCCCTTTGAAGCATTTTAATAGCATCAAATGTGTGTGTGTGTGTGTGTGTGTGTGTGTGTGTGTGTGTGTGTGTGTGTGTGTGTGTGTGTGTGTGTGTGACATGTTCTCCATTGTTACTCGCATTATTTACGTTGACATTGAAATGGAGACAACTCTTATATCATCTTATCGAAAGTAGGTTAAAGCTAAAGCTCATCGCCAAATTGAAGTCAGTTGTGAACAACTTTCATCTCAAGTATACGTTGGAAGGGAGACAACTTTTGTGAATCGATAATAAAGCTAAAACGAAAGTAGGTTTCCAGGAAGTACACCGTATTTCCAAAAGCCCATCCGCCATATTGAAGTCAGTTGTGAACAACTTTCTTCTAGATCCTGTTCATCTGAAGAACGATGTCAAATCCCGAATCTTCAACGGCAGCAGCCGGAGCCCAACCTTCGGTCGCCACCGCTGCTGGTGTAAGTAAAGAGGAGGAACCAGCTACACCGGGGCTGGATGACTCCATGTTTTCTACACCCAGCGCTCTCACTGACGTGGCGCTCGTAGTGGAAGGGAAGAAACTACACGTGAGTAAAGCTCTACTCTGTCTCGCCTCCCCCGCCTTCCTGAAAATGTTCGAAGGGGACTTTAAGGATAAAACAGAGGTTCCCATCGCGGACAAGAAGTATGCGGACTTTGTTGAATTCTTGTTGTGCTTTCATCCGTCCACCTGTAAACCGGTCCAACGGGAAACACTCGACGTTCTTCTGGCTCTCGCTGACGAATACGAGGTCGAGTCTCTCAAGCAGCGGTGTGAACAGTTTGTCCTCAATATGTTCCAACTTAAAAATGACAAGAAATCAGATCCGTCTAATACAGAACTGGTTCATTTCCTGTACCTGTCTGACAAGTACAAACTGAGCAAACTTCTGGACACCTGTGTTGTCAAAGCGACGTACAGAACCTATGAAGGCGAACACGGCATCAGAACCTTGCGGGAATTCAACCTTCTGTCAGAGAAATCTAAGTTTCGTATACTGTCTGAAAGAATGAGTTTGCTTGAAGTGCCCTTAACAGGTTTACTTTGTGCCTCTAACGAACAAACGCTTAAGCAACGATTGGATATAATTCTGCGTACTGGTTGTAGTTGCCGCAGAAGACTACATTCTCCCTATGATTTGTCAGGAGTTAGAAAGCAGTTGAGAGACGACCTATTAGCTCACTTGGACAACTTCTGTCTACTTTCAACCTATTTTAGGAAGGATCCGCGCTATGCAGATGTCCAATAAACTCAACAGCGATATAAGTGGGTTTCACCAAAGTGTTAAAGGTCCATGAGGGCTTTCCTCAGACGCAACAAGCTGACACACCGTCATATAACTGGAATAATGTTAAATGCGGCGTTAAACCCCTCAATCACGACAGCGATGTACTTGTCTGATAAAAAATATCACTTGAGCCAGACAATAGCGCCTGTGTGCATTATTCACAGCAGTACAGTTCCTTTATGTGTGATGCCTGCAAGATGGGGGCAAGATGGACAAATCTACTGTCTGTGCTTGTGTAGCATCGTTCCCCAGCGGCCAACCATGGTGTGGATTTATATTTGACCAGATTCCGATGAGACCGCATAAAACTACGCATCGTTATAAATTATAGCCACACAAAGTTAAGAAGTGGACACAAAGTTTGCGTTTAGTAGGGGCATGCAAGCATGCGTCTGGATAGTCTTACGTTATATATAATTCTTAATACTGTGTGCTGTAGTAGTCAGGTAATGTCATTTTCCAAGTATTATACATTTAATATTGTGTACTACCACTTCAATTACTGTTTGCGATAATAATATACTGTATGTGAAAAAAAGAAAATATATATATATCTATTGGTCATTGGACGAGACATCTAGAAAGTGTCATGCTCTATATAGCTTACTAGTATTATATGTAATATTGTGTGCTATAGTAGTCAGGTAATCTCCTTGTCTTAGTAGTTTTAAAAATGTGTACTACCACTTCATTTACGGTTTGGGGTTATAATATTGTTATATGCTCAGTCCTTACATTCTGTATTTAGGTGGAATCAGAGAAGTAGTAGGGATAGAAGTAAAAATTGTAAATCAGTCAGGAGATTATTAATAAAATCAATTGTCTTCAAATGTATTTGTGTTTATTTCCACAAACTCAAGCCTGCCTAGGTTTACCTGTAGTCCTTTTAACATCGTACATAACACAATACCAGACTGCCAGCTGTGTGGGGGATCTGCTGGGGATATTTCATCCCGTCAGGATCTCATTTCCAGTACAATAATTGTTCTTTTACACCCCAGTCCAATACCTGGGGCGATGAACATTTAACACATTGGAATTGCCGGGATTAAATTTGCATTCATGTTAGTTAACTCATCCAAATAACCAACATGTTTACTTTTGTTTTATCCAGAAGCAGAAATAGGAAAAGAACAACTACACTGAATCGGTCGGACGTACAAGGTTCACAGAAAGTCTCACGGGAACGCACCAATAATGTTTATATAATCAAGAATAAAAATAATATCTTTTGCAATATGTCACAGTAGAAAAGGGATTCAATAGAGAAAATATGTCGTCAGAAAATTACAGAACCGAAAAAATCGACTAATATTGTGTGCCAGAGTTTCCAGATTTACACCATTGCAATACATTATACAGTGTCTTGTGCGAGTTGTAATGTTCCTAACTTTCAGCAGGACCACCAACCACATATTATGTAACTTACTTTCTGAACAATTGCCTGACTTATTACCAACCCTTCCGAAACTAAACAATGAAATGAAATAAATTAATCAAAATATTTGAAAACATATATGTTTTATAAACTTATCAATAAATGAAACGAGTTGGACCTGTGATGTTTTGATTGTTATTAAAACTTGAAATATAAGTTTTACCTTTAAAAAGCTGGAATTGGACTTTTATTTTATTGGAACATCGTTACTCACGTGATTACAATGTTGCTCTTTATTGTGTGTCTGGGTTTCCAGGAATATGTCATGAAGGTATGCACACTGTAAGAAATGTGTTTAGAATGTAAACAAATACAAGGCATGTTTTGATCTAAACATGTTTAGGTATCTATTTAAATCCTAAACGGAATCACATTTGGTGTGTTCTATCAAAACACGTTTGGGTCTAAACAAGAAATGAGTTGTGGTCTCACAGCCTTTATATATACCCTAAGGGCGACACGTGTCGCCTAACGGTCCCGAATATGTCACCCAAACGTCGCAAATAAATATATATATCACAAGGACCTAAACGCGCCAAAAGTATCGGCCAAGGAACGTGTTTAGGTTGGTGTTTAGGATCTAAGCATACTTTGTACAATGTACGTAGCTGCAGGTGAAGCATATATTTATCACCTGGCACTGTATAGTTATAATACATAATTAGCAATTACGTAATGTTTGTCGGCTGGTTTCCGTGTGTGATGACTGATAGTATATCATCGTGGCCATGGATCGTTGCTCATGCTTTCAAGCACTTGTCGCTTGTCCCAGACTCGATTGTTTTAAGGACGCTGCCATAAAGCTGGGATACTGCTAAATGTGATGTAACGGGTGACACTCATACGGGTGACGCAGCGAAGCTAGAGGGCACTTCAACCTATACAGAGCGAAGGCGAATGCAGTTCTGGTGGTAAAGAAATGGTAAAGATAACCTTTGCATACACATTACTGCAATATGGGAATAAAAGTTAGCAACACGGAGAAGTCTTTCATGAGTGTTGAATTGCGTTGGGAAATGCATTTCGTCAAAAGTGTAGTTTTCACTCATCAACAGTGAAGCAAGTATTCATTTCAAAAATCGCAATATGGCTGTGTGGAGTGAGTGAGTGTGGTTTGACGCCGCTTTGAACTGTATCCCGGCTGCTGTGGAAGTTATCCGAATAAAGGCGAATGAAATCAATTGAATATCAAATGTAGCATGAAACGTGGACACTATTCACAGGAGACAATTCGTGTTCTATAAAGCTTATACAGGTATATATCTGCCTTTACAGTTACGCAAGTTTTATTTCGAAAATCCAAAATGTCTGCATGGAAGCTATCTGAAGCTTTTCCTGGCTCGTGTGGCGCAGGGGGCACGGGTGGCCCACTCGTCTAAGGCGCAGCGATTCGCTGATTGTGGGTTCGAATCCCGGTTCGCCCCGATTATGTTTCTAGGTTTGTCAGCACCATACCCGTGCTCGTGGGTTTCACCGGAGTGGTAAACGTCTGAAACCTGCATCACTTCGGGCTTTCCTCCTACATTAAGCTGACACGCCGCGGTATAACTGAAATACTGTTAAAAGCGGCGTTAAACCCAACTCACACACAAATCGTGTGGCGCAGATGAAAAATTTGCAGGATGAATATGCATGACTTGTCAGCTGGCAGTTCGATCCGACAACCTCCAAATCTTGCCGTAAAAGGCGATTATGCTTGTCGTAAGAGGCGATTAACGGGATCGGGTGCTTATGATATCAATCACCAGATTGTCTGGGCCAGACTAGATTATTTACAGACCGCCGTCATATAGCTGGAATATTGCTGAGTGCGGCGTTAAACAACAAACAAACAAACACAAAAACAAAGCTTGGCGACAGTTTGCCAGACGAGGTGATCTGGTTCATCGGTTCATCAACAGGTGATTCTACAGGGAATACATCTAACGATCAAGTCTAAACTTAACCAGTAACCGGTAAATACTAAGTACACCTACAGGCACATCGCTCAGTGCACTCGTCACCACTCGCCCCTTTCCGTAACCTGCAAGAAGACTCGTTCCCCTATCGATGAATGTTTTGTGAGAAAATACGACAATTTCGTAGATGTCTTTGCTGTTTTGTTTCAACATATACATATATCTGCACAGATAAAACAGTCATTCTTTGAATGTCGTACACAACAAAACACACCACAACACAACACAAAACGATATGATTTAGATCCAGCATCCCGTCTGTGGGAGACAACTGTAAATAAGAAACTTTAACGCCAGATAATTACCCGTTTCGAATATCCGCCGATGCAGATTCAATTATGAGTAAAAAGCAAATATATGACTGGATCACAGAAAATCAGGTCCGGTCTGAATAGGCTATAACTACTGCGCTTATTTACCGTGGAAAGATATTGTGTAATATTATCCAATTCAATATATAAGGGCGATAATCGCACAGTAGTAAAAAAATGGTGTAAGATGTAAAACAAGGAATGAATTGGAAACAATTTTGTTCATATAGTTTGAAACATACATGTACCAGTGTTGATTAAACATCTACATATTTATTAACTTATTTGATTGTAAATTTTATTTGACGAACATAGAACCTCGCATCAAAAGTTCTTGTCCCCTTTGAAGCATTTTAATAGCATCAAATGTGTGTGTGTGTGTGTGTGTGTGTGTGTCACATGTTCTCCATTGTGACTCGCATTATTCACGTTGACTTTGAAATGGAGACAACTCTTATATCATCTTATCGAAAGTAGGTTAAAGCTAAAGCTCATCGCCAAATTGAAGTCAGTTGTGAACAACTTTCATCTCAAGTATACGTTGGAAGGGAGACAACTTTTGTGAATCGACAATAAAGCTAAAACGAAAGTAGGTTTCCAGGAAATACAACAGTATTTCCAACAGCCCACCCGAGATACTGAAGTCAGTTGTGAACAACTTTCTTCTAGATCATGTTCATCATAAGAACGATGTCAAATCCCGAATCTTCAACGGCAGCAGCCGGAGCCCAACCTTCGGTCGCCACCGCTGCTGGTGTAAGTAAAGAGGAGAAACCAGCTACACCGGGGCTGGATGACTCCATGTTTTCTACACCCAGCGCTCTCACTGACGTGGCGCTCGTAGTGGATGGGAAGAAACTACACGTGAGTAAAGCTCTACTCTGTCTCGCCTCCCCCGCCTTCCTGAAAATGTTCGAAGGGGACTTTAAGGATAAAACAGAGGTTCCCATCGCGGACAAGAAGTATGCGGACTTTGTTGAATTCCTGTTGTGTGTTCATCCGTCCACCTGTAAACCGGTCCAACGGGAAACACTCGACGTTGTTCTGCCGCTCGCTGACGAATACGAGGTCGAGTCTCTCAAGCAGCGGTGTGAACAGTTTGTTCTCACAAGGTTCCTTTTGAAAGATGAACAGCAAAATAATCCAGCAAATGAAGAATTGGTTCACTTTACCTACCTGGCTGATAAATACAAACTGAAGACACTGTTGGACAAATGTGTCGTCAGGCTGAAATGTAGAACATATGACGGCGGTCATGGCGTGAAGCGTTTACCAGAATTCCAGCGTCTGTCACCAGATGCTAAGGTTTGGGTAATGTCGGAGAGATTAAGATTGATGGAAAAACCTGTTGCGGAGATTCTTGATGCCGCCATTCGAGAACCGTGCAAGCGAAATTTAGACAACATTGAAAATGCTCACTGTAATGGATGCCTTGGGGCAGTCAAGCACAGCACTAAATGTCCAGTTAAGTGCAAAAGAGAACTTTATACACAGTGGGAATCAATTTATGACCTGAAACAAATATTCAAATTTGATTCACGTTTTAAGTAATATTGGCACCATCAGCCACAATTCTATAGTATTGGTATGCGCAACAGTTAACCACCCGAGATGTCTCAAATTATATCCGGTGAGTTCAAAATGTTTTCTTGTTTTATAGCGTTGGATTTCTTCATAAAGATGCACTGATCATAGTAAACACGTGCGTTTAATGTCACATATGGTGCACTAAATTCTTTGTTCTACATGCTACAGTGTTGGGTCATCGTTCCACGCAATTGGGATCGATGACATGCATCAACCAAGTCACCCGATCTCGTTAGTCGCCTTTTACGACAAGCAAAGTCACCTTTTACGGCAAGCATGTGTTGATGAAGATCTATTCTTTCCCGGATCTTCACGGGTCCATAGTGCGTGAAGTAGGAAACGAAGTAATTGTACATGTGCTCATGGTTATGTGTTGTTTTAACCACTCCTACTTGGCGGGAAATATAGGTTCCCAGTAACCCGTGCTTGTCGTCAGCGCGGACTCTATACTTTCTGTTGGCCAGGTTTGGTGACATGGCTGATGCTTGTCATCGTACCTTGGAAGGCGTGGTGAGTTGCTCATATTATCAATCACTGGTTTTCCTGGTTCTTTATACCGTCGCTTTCGTACGGATGGGTCAACAAATATTGACCTAGCGGAGGCTATATGGGGGGACTGTTTTTCTGTGTCTGAAAAATCACCGGACACCATTAACACGTGTACTTATGATTCCTGAACTTAGGAAGCCTAATCCAGACATAATATCCATGTCAACCTTTCACTTGGGCGTTGTTTAACTTTTGCTGAGGCTTATATTATCCAGATGATTTTATTGTTCTTGTACAACCATGTCATGAGTATTGACTAGCGTCGTCCTTGCACACCTGATTCTATAAGGGATACTGAAAGCTGTCTCTTACGACGCAGGTCAGCATCCACAGCAGTGATGTCCCAGAAGACAGGTTTTGGGGTTTAACAGGGTCAGGACTGCATAGACCCATGTGTACAATGTCTAGGACAATTTCGTTATTGACATAAGTGTAATTTACAGCCATCATTTTTCTTAAGTGGCATCGTTAAATTGATTATAGTGTTTGGGTGTGATCTGATTGTGTGTATTGCTTTAAGTAGCTTTGTGAAGTCTTAACCTGTCTTGTATCCTTGTGTGTCGAAGAACGTTATCAGGAGTTGCTGCTTGTGGGTATTTCCAACGTAAAAGCCCCACTGTTTCTGAATGAACTGGACACACCGCACAGCAACTTGGTTTTGATTCCCAGGACATCGCGGTAAACAAAGTTACGTGATGCTGGCTTAAATGGCGTCGGACTGCTTTTCGGACATGGGCCGAAAAGAAGTTTATGGACAAGAGAGGTCAGTATGGTTCAAGTGTGTTCGCCAGCAAAAATGGTCAAGAAATGAAGTCAAATGTTACATGACTGCAACCAGACGGGCCTTGAACTTGTTCCAGAATGGCAATGTAGACAGACTTTGATGTGCTTGATATTCTGAAATTTAAAGGCAAATGAAATATAACATGTCTTATTTGACAGCCGACCAAGTCGCCTCGTATTCTTGGATCAGAGATCGTACGATGTGCAAATATCGGATTTAGACAATTACCGTTATTTATTTCTTAAAGTTTAATGGTGGACATGTGGAGGTCATTTCCAAATGTATGCACCAGTGACAAATATGATGTCCGATGCAATTCCCTTGTCATGATTTGATAGCGATTCATAAACACATGCTTACCCCGGTGGGATTCGTACAATGGACTGTTTTTAGGCAGATTTTTTATGGTTATGTAAATGTTTTTTTGTGTGGCTTTTCATGTGTTAAAAAGTCCAACTTCATGCGATGTTTTAGATAACACTTATCTTCTTTTTTTTTGCAGTAGAAAGCGCCATGTTCTTGTGTGCATGTAAATAAATCGCTTATTACATTAATAAAATTTGATGACGACCTGTTAATTTTCACAGAGCTCTTTCCTGGGGACACCATGGTGCCTTCGCTTCAATCTTCACATGAACTCATTTAAACAAAACAGCATTGAACAAAACAAATCCTTAATCCCCGATAATGCTATCCTTTCCATACCACAATTCTTTTCGTGTTCCCAAGTGCAATGACACGGACCATAACATAAGATAACTGGTGGCTCACAATACAAAGTTGCGTCCCTTAAGCGTACCAGGATCCTATGATCGAATCTCAAAGAGAGAGAAAGAGAGAGAGAGAGAGAGAGAGAGAGAGAGAGAGAGAGAGAGAGAGAGAGCAAATATATAGTACCGATCACTTTTTTGAGATGGTACAACGACTAAATCCTAACAACTGCTGTACTTCTGAAGCTCTTCATACAATTTGCCAGCAATTCCAACATTTTTCTTTTGCAGCTAGGTTGTAACCTGGCCGCAAGCCTGTAGTGACTGGGGCTTTACACACTTTTGCCAAATCTCAAAAGACTGTCAAACTCTAAACAGTTAACTGAAAGCAAAACACCAGAAACTAGTTCAAGTAATTTTATTGTTCATGACATTATTGAAGGACAAAGTATGTACAAATGAGAAACAATATCAATGATTGGTAGTGACAATAGAACACAGAAAGGAACAAGAGACAGATGATAGCCTATATAACTCGCTATGCTGATGAACTTGGTGTTTCTTGAATGGCTGAAGGTGTCCAATCTCACAGCAAAATCATGTCAACTTCAAGATACTCTGATTGTTGTGATGGCATTGATGGTATTAGTCATTAAGTCATACGTTCTTGCAAAACAGGTTCAGTCTCCGTTGACGTCTGTAAGTGCTGGTCGCTTCTGCAAACGTGTACCAGCGCTGAAAATATATAAAAAAAACATTAACATACACCTTGCCTGCATCATGACACATCTCGATCAAACAGTTTTATTGAAGTGTGAGAGTCAGGCATCCTGGGGTGAGCATTCAGTGGACAAGTGGATTTGGTACATACTACACTGTCATGGTTGGAAGGGTGGTTTATTACAGGGTTTTCTCATGCTCAAATGTGCGTCCAGTACACATATATGTGGAATATGGACGCAGAGAAATTATATACTGCATCCCGAGGGACACACAATTATATTGTACCTTCAGCCCATCAAAAGCAGTTATGGGTCTCTGTTACTGGGGTGGTCCCAGCGTTTAAAAAAAGGGGGTTCCATTTGTAACTGTGTGTGTGTGTGTGCGTGTGCGTGTGCGTGTGCGTGTGCATGCTCATGCTTGCGCGAAACGAGGTGAAAAGGTGTTGAACACTTGTTTATTTGCACTTTCATTGCAACGTGCATGCACGTGTCCAGATTTTATAGTGCTAGCCCACTGAGACACCAAGGGATAGTTTAACATAAATACTCCACTCAGACACAGTATACTGACTCAGAGCCGACCAGTCCTTGTAGCCCCTGAATGCTGAGCGCCAGACAGGGTAACAACCATCTGTTAACATCTTTTGGTATGACACAGTCAGGGATTGAACCCTGGACCTTCTTTTCTCCGGGCGGACGCTCTAGCACCAGACCACGGAAGCAGTCTCAGTTCACTGTGGAGCTGTTAGAAGCATCCACAAGACATTTGTCACCTCACATAGGTGATACACTGGAGACTGCATCTGTGTATACATTACAAACATACCAAGGATTTGTACACTACATAAGTATTCCATAAAGCTATGATATTTGTCCCTGTGCGGATCCGGGCTAAAATCGTCTCCAGCAAACTATGTTGGTCATGAGAGGTGACTTAATCTTGTTAATGGTTTGGCTGGTCAGGTGAATGGATAGCATGTCATTGTACCCTGATGTGTGGATCACTGCTTACAATATCAATCACTGGATTGTTTACAGGCTGTTGCCATACGTTGGAATATCGCTGGATTTGGTATTAAACAAACAAACAAATGCACACCATGACAAACATGCACGTTTCTCCATACAAGGAAACAAAGGAAACATGCAATGCATCACTGAGTCAAAGAAATCTAAAGCAATATACGGAAGGCATGGGTTGAGTCTCGGAGAAGAAGGCTCCACTACCACATCATTGGTGTACATACTGGATAGTGATGCACCATGGCAGCTAGGTTGTGGGATGAACATCCTGAACACATCTTGTTTCTTATTGGAACCATTGTCATGATTATGTATCCGGGATATCATGTTCAGGAATTCAATGTTGAACTTGCTGTGGTAAAATGTAATTTAAATTTTGTCATGCTTACAAAACCATCTCTGGAATTGATGCTTTCTTTTGTTCTAGTATACAACATAGGCTGCACATTAAGGTTCCCTGATCTTTGAACAATAAGACCTGAAACAATTCATCAGTGTGTCCATGTAACACCCTACTTCATGTACTGAGACAACATGTACATGTAATAATGACAAATCCTGAAGTGACCAGTGGTAGAAACTAACAGTTTCAGTCCACTAGTCCTTATTATGATAACATATAGCAAAACCCCTAAAAATGGCAAATTTCTACTAGTCCTTATGATACCTTTACATTGGGCAGTTTGGCAAGGACTACAGGACTAGCGCCAATTTCTTACGCTGCAGTGATAAAGAAGTCAGAACATGCTGTGTGAGTGAGTATGATCAGAAGCAGCTTTTAGCAATATTTCAAGAATATCCTGGTGGTGGACACCAGAAATGGGCTTCACACATTGTACCCAGGTCTCCGAGCGAATGCCTGAACATGCTGAAGCAGCTGGTTTAAATATTACTTTATCTATGTTGGTTGTATAAGATGACAGGTACCACTCCTGATGAGTTATATTTGACGTGACATATTATATAAAGCCCTACTATTTCCGATAAAAACATTCAAGGGACAGCAGCAGTGCATTTCCTTCAGAATGTTTGTGATGTTATTTTTTCCAATCATATCTTGTAGTCTTAAGACTCCTGCACCACCCTCTAAGTTGTTTGAAAGACTCTCTTAGATCCCAGCGCCTTGGTGCAACACTGTAGGCTTGCTACAAGCATATGTCCTGCAGTATTGTGCAGGGGTTCAGGTATACATTCTTTGGAAGCATACAGTCAAGCAGCTACTCCGATCCAAGATGTGTCTACTTTAACAAGTTTAAACTCTTTACCAATTGTACTGCTGACCCAGCTGACTTGGAGGGTGAAAGTTTAATACCGTTTACTGCGAGGAGTTTTGGGTTCTTCAGTGACAGACTGGGAACTGTCTTTGCCATCCAGTAGAAGACCCTGTAGATTTCTCCTTGTGTGCTCTAGTGATTCAACCTGTTTTATATTTGCCTTGCTGCCTCGGAGTGGAGTCGGAGAGCCAAATACACTGTTCTCTAGCTCGCTGAAATAAAACAGAAGAGTGATTCTTGGCAAACTGAGTGTCATTACATATAATGCCATCTCTTGCAGTTGAACCGAAAATAATCCCAGAGAGAAACACTTCCGTGAATCGAATAGCCAAAACACATTCACCTACAAGGAATCACGTGATCCAAGCTACACTTGACTCCCTTTCATTAGAGATAAACCAAGTACATGTGAAATTAGGTGTTCGTGGGTAGGAAGCTTACTGGGTGCAAACATTACCTATGTAATGCAGGATAAGTACGTATAAACCCCCTAGTGACGTCATCCTATTGTTCTCCAGTCAGGTTAAATCTCATAAACAGGGATGTTATAATATCCCTGGGATTCTATGAATAAACTTCCATTTAGATTGTAGCATATTAATGTGTTTCGCTAGAAATATATTTTGCATTTGAACATAATGCAATGAAATATAAAATCTAATGACAAATGTTTTCTTTATATTCCCTGGGATTGAACACGCAAAACTTGTCTTTTTTGTACGTCAGCAACAGATACTTTACGCCTGTTTCCTAAGGTTCATGGAAAGTATGTTTGAAACAAAAATGTTGATAAATGTTGGCTTATAAGTTAGATAAAACACTTCCCCTAGGGTTTTTTATGATATTTAAAACCCTCATCCTTGGGATAAAACCTGGGGGCTGACACCCTTCAGTTTTATCCCAGGGATGCAGGTTTAAAATATCATCAAAACCCTTGAACGTACTTTATCCTACACATGAACATGAAAAATATTGGATATAATAAGTATTGAGGTGTTTCTCTCTGCGTGAGAGATCTCCATTGGGATTACATTTACAGATCAACAGCAGGATCAGTTAAAAATTTGTCTACACATTTAACAAGAAGATCATTGCATAAAACCTTCAACTCACATGTACCTGAATCAGCAGGAAAAATAAATAAATGAATAAATAAAGTATGATTATTGCAAGATGAACAATGCTTTCTATTACCTGTCTGCTTGAACTTGTGTTCGGGTGCGTCGGCCTGTCGTTGACCTGGCTGTCTTGGTGGCCTGGGGCATCAGGATTGGGGCAGGTGTTTTCACTGATTTAGCTACAAACAAGGAGTTCAACACTTACAATGTGATCCATATCTGTGAGGTTAGGTGAAATTGGGTTGATGTCAAGTCCAAGATTATTGCTCTTATATAGCGACGTGCATGCACATGTGTGTGGCTGCTTGTAGTAGTCAGGACTGATGCCGATTTTATAGTGCTAGTTCACTGAGATGCCATGCTGCAGTTTAACATGAATATCCCACTCAGACACAGTATCCTGACTCCGAGATGACCAGTCCCTGTTTTAGCTCCTTAATGACAAGCACCAGACAGGGTAACAACAGGTATCATCTTTTAACGTCTTTTGGTATGATGTGGCCGTGGGGCGAACCCCAGACAATTCTCTCTCAGTGCAGATGCTCTACCACAAGACCACGGAGACGGTCGAATCCATGTCTGTATCATGTGTATGAACATATGATGATAGTTCTTCTATTTGTGTTGAATTTATTTATGTAATAGAAAGTTTATTAAAAAGGATATTTAATTTGACATAAAAGGTTGAAAAAGTATTGAGGAAAAATAATTTTGAATCTTTGAACAGTTAGCTAGGAAATAGGTTGGTGACAGTGTCAAAGACAGCATTGTCCAAGCATCAATAAACAGTTGTTAAAGTGGTTATAAGTGGCTAAGTCAGATTCAAATGAAATGGGGGAAAATGTAACAAAGATTTGACAAAATAAACTTTCACTGTCATAATAACATCTCACTACAACATCTGTAACACACCACCACACTCTGCAACATAAACTTGCCAAACAAGTTAAACCTCCACGACAACATCTGCAGTAACAACCTTCCGTGACAACATCTGCAGTAACAACCTTCCACGACAACATCTGCAGTAACAACCTTCCACGACAACATCTGCAGTAACAACCTTCCACGACAACATCTGCAGTAACAACCTTCCACGACAACATCTGCAGTAACCTTCCATGACAACATCTGCAGTAACCTTCCACGACAACATCTGCAGTAACAACCTTCCACGACAACATCTGCAGTAACAACCTTCCACGACAACATCTGCAGTAACAACCTTCCACGACAACATCTGCAGTAACCTTCCACAACAATATCTGCAGTAACCTTCCATGACAACATCTGCAGTAACAACCTTCCTCTACAAGATCTGCAGTAACAACATTCCACTACATCATCTGCAGTAACAACATTCCACTACAACATCTGCAGTAACAACCTTCCTCTACAACATCTGCAGTAACCTTCCACAACATCTGCAGTAACTTTCCACGACAACATCTGCAGTAACTTTCCACGACAACATCTGCAGTAACAACCTTCCTCTACAACATCTGCAGTAACAAACTTCCACGACAACATCTGCAGTAACAACATTCCACTACAACATCTGCAGTAACAACCTTCCACAATATCTGCAGTAACAACCTTCCTCTACAACATCTGCAGTAACAACATTCCACTACAACATCTGCAGTAACAACCTTCCTCTACAACATCTGCAGTAACAACATTCCACTACAACATCTGCAGTAACAACATTCCACTACAACATCTACAGTTACAACCTTCCACAATATCTGCAGTAACAACCTTCCTCTACAACATCTGCAGTAACAAACTTCCACTACAACATCTGCAGTAACAACATTCCACTACAACATCTGCAGTAACAACATTCCACTACAACATCTGCAGTAACAACATTCCACTACAACATCTGCAGTAACAACCTTGCACTGCAACATCTGCAGTAACAACATTCCACTACAACATCTGCAGTAACAACATTCCACTACAACATCTGCAGTAACAACATTCCACACTCCCTACCTCTTGTTGTTCGTTTGACTCTCACATTCTTGGTAGACGCAGTCATGTTTTCTATTGTAGTGTTTAATGCAGGTGTAACAGTTCCAGTTGCCTCCCCTTGACTGGAACTCTCCACCTGAGTACTCTGTGAGTCTGATAGCGAGTCAACAACACTTATAGCTACATCTGAGCCCTGCGAATCGGACACGACACTGGTGATATCGACACTGGTAGCGACCGTGTCTTGTGAGTCAGGGACTGTGCTGGTCTGTGAAGATGGAAGGGGGTCTTGCGAGTCAGCAACAGCACTGCTGGCATCAGCCTCGGTGACATCACCACCTTCTGCTTCTGTCTTGGGCACAACATCAGCGTTGGTGCTGCTGGTTTTGACAGCAAGCATGGAGTCAACAGTTGCCTTAAACTTCTCCACGACCTTCACACTTTGCTTTTCTTTCACAACCTGCAGAGAGAAATGTCCATCAACTGAATCAATTAACAATTCTGTCTATGTACCAATTGGCATGTAATGATTTCACCAAATTGACATACAATTGGTCACTAGGGGCCTTGGTCAGGTACCTAGCAATTGAAGGTGAGAGAGTTCTGTACATACCTCCAGCATCTGGTCACAGAGCACCTGCATGTCCTTGAGTTGCTAGATAGAGACATGTGACCATGACAGTGTGTTGTACCTACCTCCAGCATCTGGTCACAGAGCACCTGCATGTCCTTGAGTTGCTAGGTAGAGACATGTGACCATGACAGTGTGTTGTACCTACCTCCAGCATCTGGTCACAGAGCACCTGCATGTCCTTGAGTTGCTAGGTAGAGACATGTGATCATGACACTGTGTTGTACCTACCTCCAGCATCTGGTCACAGAGCACCTGCATGTCTTTGAGTTGCTAGGTAGAGACATGTGACCATGACAGTGTGTTGTACCTACCTCCAGCATCTGGTCACAGAGCACCTGCATGTCCTTGAGTTGCTAGGTGGAGACATGTGATCATGACAGTGTGTTGTACCTACCTCCAGCATCTGGTCACAGAGCACCTGCATGTCCTTGAGTTGCTAGGTAGAGACATGTGACCATGACAGTGTGTTGTACCTACCTCCAGCATCTGGTCACAGAGCACCTGCATGTCCTTGAGTTGCTAGGTAGAGACATGTGATCATGACAGTGTGTTGTACCTACCTCCAGCATCTGGTCACAGAGCACCTGCATGTCCTTGAGTTGCTAGGTAGAGACATGTGACCATGACAGTGTGTTGTACCTACCTCCAGCATCTGGTCACAGAGCACCTGCATGTCCTTGAGTTGCTAGGTAGAGACATGTGACCACGACAGTGTGTTGTACCTACCTCCAGCATCTGGTCACAGAGCACCTGCATGTCCTTGAGCTGTGTGTCTGGGCTCAGGTCCAGCTGGTTCAGGAGGCGTGTCCACAGCTTGACATTGAAGGAGTCGGGGTTGGACAGGATCTCGTTACTCACCAGGACAGCTATGTGGTCGTGTCCTGGGTTGTCCTGGGAGGTAACACAGCAACAATTATGTCATCCCTTTCAACAACTGGAGTATTATGTGAGTGAGTGAGATGACTGAGCTGGGTTTAACATCGATTTGTAAACTGTGTAACACCAGAACCATATGCATGTAGTTTGTATTGCTGTTTTTGAAGACAGGTTAGAATATGATTTGTGTTTAACTCCTCTTTAAACAGTATTTCAGTAATACCATTATCACTATGGGATAGCTGATGTGGCAGGAAGTCGTGAAGTAAAGCAGGTCTTAGGAGTTCACCACGTGCACTTTTGTGAAATCTATGAGCATGGGTAAAGTGCTGAACATAATCAGGGGAAACTGGGACTCAGTTCCACCATCATAGGTTCCTGGCATGCCTAAGGGAAGCAACTCTGCACACGGACAGTTAGACTTACAGTGACTAGACTCTGGGAGTTCTGGTTGACCACCAGGAGTTTGGTGTTGATGAGCTGGACCAGGAAGTCCCCCACATTGCTGACGTTCACCTCATTTAGAGGGCTGGATGTTGGGGCATTCAGCAGGGTCTTCAGTGTCGGCATGAACGCCTCCTCAAACAACTCCTGGTTAGCTCTGGTAACATGGGAGAAAACAGGTGGAGGCAGTGTCATTCCATGTGATTGATGCAAGTAACAAAATAACATTAACACATAAACATAAAACACAAAAGACAAGGCTTCAAAGCACTGATGAAGTGTTTCCTAGATGTGTGGTTGAAGAGTATAGGAAAACATCACATAAGAGTTGCTTCTCTAACAGCAGGGTTGTTGATTACATGAAGAACACTGAGAAAGAATGTCTGAAAATGCAAATAATGAATTTGCTATTCTCATGCATGCTTTATCATTAAGCAATGACCGACTTAACTTGAAATGCTAACACTAGGGCTTCAAAATGGAGCCTTTCTGCATTGATCATAAGGGCATACCCTCAAACTTGACATCTGATTTGGGTTATGCTGGAAGTATGCATCGACATGATGGAGGCATATTAAATTCTACACCTGTATCCACTCACCTGCAAGCGAAGGCAAACACCGGCAGGAAGGCTCCGAGACAGTGTCTGAGGTGGTTGTCATCCTCTGTCAGTGGGTTGTACCACAACAGCAAGAGGTGAGACAGGAGTTTGGAAGATACCACTCTGCCAGATAGCAGCAGTTTGGCCATACCCTCAGCTGCAACTGTCCTCAACTCGGAACTCTGTGACCACAAGGTTCATGTGTTTCATCAGTAATAATTTCTCTGGTATGAACTGACAGCAAGGAATAAGGTATGTGGGTTGAGACTTGTGTTGGGTTAGAAGTGGGGCCCTATTCGACCATGAGACATTTTGAAAGAACAGGTTTGGTTGAGTCTCTTGACATCCTAGATACAGATCATGTAGCCTGCTGAAAATGCCAAGCTGTCAACCTATGGAACAGGAGCAAAAGGCAACACTGTTTTGATTGGGTGTCAACTGACCTGATGACTATGAAAAATATTCTAAGAGTGGTCACAATCACTAAATTTGAAGGATTAGAAAAGAGAAAGGCTGAAACCTCAAAATGCCCTTAACAAAATTCAAAGTAATCATGGTAATTGTGTGGTTTCCGAACACAGGAAATACCTGAGGAAAAGCCCAACTCATCTCATCCCATCTCATCTCGAGCGAGCGAGCATGGTTTTACACCATTCTTAGCATTATTAATGCAATATCACAACTGGCGACACCAAGGAATGGGCTTCGCACTATGTACCCATGTGGGGAACCGAACCCGGGTCTTCGGCATGACGGCCAAACGCTTTAACCACTAGGCTACCCCACCAACGCCATCTCATCATAGTTGGTTGGTTGGTGTGTTATTTAATGCCGCACTCAGCAATATTCCAGCTATATTACGGTGGTCTGTAAATAATCGAGTCTGGACCAGACAATCTAGTGATTGATATCATGAGCATCGATCCATGTAATTGGGATCGATGACATGCATCAACCGAGTCATTGAGCCTGACCACCCGATCCCATTAGTCACCTTTAGCGACAAGCATAGTCTCCTTTTATGGCAAGCATGGGTTGCTGAAGACTGATTCTACCCCGGAATCTTTACGGGTCTCTCAGCATGGAGAGAGTACTTGTTACTGTATTGAAGTCAACCCCTTACATTGTAACAGAGTGAGTATTATTTCCACACTCCTAAACCAAACTGACTGAAGCAATGTTAAGTTAAACAATAGACCAAAAACTGTCAGATATATTCAATTTAATTTGACCTACCTACCCTTGCTAATCTGTCACCTAAATGTCCAGGTTATCCAATATAAATATGTATGCAAGTGTCTTGACTTGTCTTTTTTGTCCTAAACAATAAGTGTCTCTACTCTAGTTGTTGATTACCTCGGAATCCAGGAAAGCACTAAGAATGGCCACCAGCTTGGTTGCAATGTCTGCGGAAGCATCAGATTTCTTTGAGCTGGTGGTAGTGGCATCGGCAAGAGTGTCATCAGGGGAATCTGCAGCAGCCTCCACTGTGTCGGAACTGACGCTGCAGTTGCTCTCCTCCGCTGCTGTCTTGCTTTCCTGTCTTGTGATGCCCAGTCCGAACATGTGGACCAAGTCAAACAGGCTTTTGAGTGACGTGGTCTTCACCGTCTCTGTGTCGTGTTGGGACACCTGATGTGTTTCAATATATGTTTAAAGATGAAGTCACAAATATTTATCTAATAATGGCTAGTGTTATCAATGTGGTAAACCAATCAGAAAAAACAACTTGGTATCATTATATAAATATGCAAATGAGGTTACCAAGCACAAACTACCTTTAAGCCCCATACATTGATGCAATTTCTGCTTGATCAATAAATTTTTACAAACCTGTAGAGGTTATGAATTCTCTGATGAAATCCTCCTTGGGGCACTTATTGCATTTTCCTTGCTCAAGAAAATCTACATGACATAGTTGTAACCATTTTCCTTAATAAAAAATGTTACCACACAAAAAACTTCGTTTTTGTATGATATACGACCACCCTTACGGGGCCTCACCCCCAACGGCGCCTCACGCCAGGGGGAGCAACTCTCACCCAAATCACTTTCCATATGTCAAATGCTGACGGAATGTGGGGAGGTGGGTGGCCGTGCCCCAAGGAGGATTTCATCAGAGAATTCATAACCTCTACAGGTTTGTAAAATTCTCTTTCTGATTAAATCCTCCTTGGGGCACTTATTGCATCAAGACAGACTCCCAAAGATAATCTAGGAAGTGGCATCCGTCAGCAACAGGCGTAAATAAATACATCGTATTTGATTATTCAACAGAATAAAATATTGAGTTCAATAAATGGAACCAACCTTATCGTGAGGCACCACCGTCGAAAGGCGGGGGCTAGAGACAGGGCGTGGTCGACCATATATTATGATAAAGCCTGTTTTAGCGGCTTGTCATAAGTTGAGAACTCGAAACACCTCCCACCCCCCCCCACACTTTTTTTGAACAAGTGATATAAGGGCGTAGATCACGAGAGACCATAACCAGCGCTGAGCTAGGCCAGAGGGTCCCCGAGGATCGAAGGAGTGCGTGCGCAAAATACGAGTATTATCGAGTAGTAAGGACTGATATTTATCGACCGCAGAAGATAAAATCCGGACCATTACTGAGCAGTATAACCGGAAGACTGTCTAAAATCTCGAATGCTCAATCAGCTAGAGATTAGAACTTTGCCCAGTTCGGAGAACTGACTCACCAAACCAAGTACGCTCGCTTGAGTGTTTGTCGAGTTGGTAAGGTTTGATGAATCGTGCTCGGCGGCGTATGCTTTTGACGCAGCCACTGCTCTAACCTAATGAGCCTTCAACCTGGTAGGGGGGGGTCCCTGCCTGTAAGCGTATACGCTGTACAAATGGTTGAAACTATCCACCTCGAGATAGATTGTTTACTCGCAGGTGAGCCAACCTTCCTACCGCAGTAACAGCAAAATAGTTGGTTATCCTTACGGACACCCATATTTCTGCTGATATAGGCCTTGAGAGTCGTGCGGACATCCAAGACATGAGCATGTCTTGCAGTGGTCCCCGACGAGGAAGGCTGTGAAAGAGCAGGTAGCTCAATAGGAGCCGTTCACGTGGAATCGTGTGCGACCCCAGGACGGTAATAGTCCGGTAGACGAAAACTGACTGTCCCGGTGATATTTATCGACCCCATGGAAGACAGTTATTTTGGGATCGGCTGACATAACGCGAATGTCGCCTACCCGTCTGCCGGACGTTACCACCACAAGGAACGCCGTCTCCCAGCTCAACAGCTGAAGAGAGAGAGACGACAGATCCCGAAAGGAAGGACCGGACAGCCAATCGAGAATGATTGACAAGCTGGACTGGCGGTCGGATCCTGTCCACACCTGCTAAAAAGCGCTGCACTAATGGGTGTGCACCCAGAAGTGCCCCGTCGACAGGGACGTGAAAAGCTGCGATAGCTGTAGAGTACCCTCGGACTGTTGATGCGGCCAGGCCGTCATCTAGTCGCGACTGGCGAAACTCAAGCACGGATACGAGATCTGCAGAAAAAAGATCTGCAATCCCTCTATCGACACACCAGGGCGCATAGCAGGCCTATCTATCGTACTGAACGTTTGTCGAATCCCTCCGCGAAGCCAGTATTGTGTCTGCAACTCGTGCAGGAATACCGCTCTTCTGGAGGCGATTCCTGACAGTGGCCAAGCCACCCATTGAATCCTGAGATTCGGGTGGAGGGCCCCGTTCTGGGATAGGAGGTCCGGTCGTAAAGGTAATATAACAGGAGGCTGAGCCAGAAACCTGAGTATTACTGGAAACCCACTCTGCGCCGACTAAAGAGGTGCCAGGAGCACAATTAGTCGCGCAGGCTGAGTGCCTAGCTGAGACAGGACCTTGGAAATCAGAGGTACTGGGGAGAATGCCCACAGAACTGTCCGTCCAATCTAGCTGAAAGGCGTCCGGTGCCACCGACCTCGGGTCGTGGACTCGGGAGCAGAACGTTGGTGTCTGGTTATTTAACCCAGACGCAAACAGATCCACCTGTAACGACCTGTATAACAGGGAGAAAATCCCGAATATCCCCGGGTCGAGCCTCCACTCGTGAGGAGCGAGGATCCGGCAAGACAGAGCGTCCGCACGGACGTTGTCCACCCCCGGGAGATAAACAGGTAGCACCCTGATATCGTGAGAGTCACACTATAGTAGGAACTGCCACGTCTTTCGTCGAAGCGACGGAGACGCCGTTCCCCCCTGCTTCCGGATGTAAGTCATCGCCGTTTGGTTGTCCATCTCTAGACGAACCACTTGGCCACGAAGCAGATCCGGGAAGCGTTGGAACACCAACCTGACCGCTCTCAGTTCTAGCACATTGATATGCAGTTTGATCTCCTGCTCGGACCATAGTCCCGAGGCAGTGTGATCATTCAGAACGCCTCCCCAGCCGGAGAGTGACGCGTCTGTTTGAACTGTGAGAGACGGAACGGGAGTGATTCCCGACCTCGGTCCACCACTGGAGGTGTGTAATGAGCCACTACGGAGTCTCGAGCACAGTCTCGAGATCTTCCGAGTTCGCCCAAAGTCAACGGAGTGCTTGTTGAATGGGACTCATTCTCAAGCGCGCCCGCCAGACCAAATCCACTGTCGCCGCCATGTTGTCCAGTAACTGGAGCCATGTACGAGCAGTGTGACTTGCGCTTAAGGGACTTGATATCTTGTGACAGAGATACACGTCCTCTCACCGTGTTGAAATTAGCCACTAGGAAGACTAGATTCTGAGTGGGGCTCAGATCTGACTTCTTGAGATTGACCATCCACCCTAGAGTGATCAGAATATCTATCACTTGTTGTGTAGCTATCTGACTCAGGGATTGCAATAGAGCTCTTAGTAACCAGTCGTCGAGGTACGGATGGCAGAACCGACCTTTTGACCTGGCCACTTGGGCGGGAATCAACATCAGCTTGGTGAACACCCTCGGGGCCGTGGAGATCCCGAATGGTAGAACCCTGAACTGATAACATCTCCCGTCGAAAGAAAACCTCAGGTATTTCTTGAACTCGGGGTGTATTGGTATGTGGAGATAGGCGTATTTTAAGTCTATTGACGTTAGCCATTCTCCTGTCTCGACAGTTGAGATCACTGTTTGGTGACTAGGAAACAAGTCGAGTAGAAGCCCTCGCTTTCCTGTCCCTCGGGACCCGGTTCGATCGCAGCTTTCATAAGAAGTGCGTCGACCTCGGCACAGAGGAATTCCGCCTTCTCTCGGGTAGCAGGCACCGGAGTGTGCTTTAGCCCGGAAGAGTGGAGGAGCGGATGAGTTTTCCACCGAGGCAAATGGCCATCCCTTAAAATGGACGGGGTCCGGGGATTGTGATGTAACTGTCTCCCATTCCTTCAGGAATAGAGCCAGTCGGCCGCCTACGGGGACATCCAGCTGGAGGCAGTGGACCCCGGCTGTCGGCAGTTCGATAACTTGCGACTGTGGGTTCACCCGGGGCTCTTCGGGCGCTAATGGGAACCCATCGTTCCCAGCCCCGCGAAAAAGCTGTTGGCCTCGACCAGCTGCCTTGCCCCGGCCCGTGCCTCTCTTGCTCCTCCCGGCGCCCTTATACCTGAAGGAAGCGGCAGCTTCCAAGCAGGTGTGGACGTCTGACCCGTGCGTTAGCGTAGGAGGGGACAATTGGAGAGGCCCGCTTACGCGGTTTTAACGCTTGGTACCTCCAACAAGGCCTTATGAGTCTTTGATGGAAGTATACAATTGAGCAGCCTCTCGGACCACCTGCTGAGCCCCAGGGAAGAGGGTGGCACCCTCTTATACGGCAAAGCAAGTAGGTCTTGGCGTGTGTAAGTCGAGTATTTAGATACCGACATCCACCGCCTGCGCATGCCCATAACAGCGCACATCATCTGCGAGGCACAGCTACGAATAGCGTCCCGCGCAAGATAACTGAACTTCCGTTAGTTGCGCGGCCAACTCCGAAGAGTCGGCCGGCCCCTCTCCCGCTAACTCCCTCTGTACAGCCGACAGATACGCGAAGTGT